GAGTTGGTGAGTGGCACGAACAGTGAATGATCTTGCACACCATGGTCTGAGATTGAATCGCCTGCCCCGGAAAGTTCAGATCACCAGCTTGAGCTCAGCCTGCAGGGCCGCTTCTTGCCCATCCAACCCCTAAGCCTTGAACCCGCAGGTGGCCGGGGTGGGTCGGGCTTCGGCCAAAGCGGACGAGGCAAAGCCGGAGACGGAGATGCAGGAGGCAGCGTTACATGGCACCCAGCCTGAGAGACCCTGAACCTTTGACTCAACTCCCTAAACCGCAAACTCCCTAAGCCCTAAAGACAAAAGACCTCTCCCAAACCCCAACCCCAGGTGACCGGTGAGGTCGCCCAGATCTGCGCCGAGCTGACGACTCCGACGCCTCCGACTGTGGAACTCAAGGAGGGCTCTGGGTATTTGCTTTCGGGCTATGGGTTTAGGGTGCGGGCATTGCCCCCTAACCCTAAACCATCGAAGGCCCTAAGCCCTGAAACCGGGACTCCGACTCCACAACCTGAACACCCAAGCGGAAGTCCAGGAGGTGGCTCTGGAGTCAACGCCGCGTGATGCCGAACCGAACAGCATGATCCCCGCTGCAGACCTTGAGGAGGGGAGAAGAGTGAAGAGAGCTTAGAGTGTACGGCTTATTTGGTTTGGGTAGCTGCCTTCGGTATGAGGTTTAGAAAGTAGAGCTAGATTTTTTATGAACTGCTCGCTTTATTGGTTGTTATACTTTCTGGTTTTCTTGCGCAGGGCTGCTTAAGGATACACTCAAGCAACTGTCCATGTCACTCCTCTGCGCTGGCCTCCCTGCAGGTTCGAAGCGCCCCTGCGCTCGACAGCGAGACGGCTGTGCACATGGAGGTGGCTAAGCCGGCTAAGCCATGTTTTTTCAAAGCCCTTACCCCGGATGGGAACAGAGCTTTGGGCTAAGGGAGTTTGTGTGTGGGTCCCAGCATAAAGACGCAGACTGCAGACAGAGTGTGATGGTGCAGTTTACGAGAGCTGTAAACCCGAGAATCCCCCATTGAAACCGTGCCTTTGGCCGCAGGCCCCGAGAACCGAAACCATCAGCCACAACGCGGACGCCCGAGACCTTAAACTAAGCCTTGTAAGTGCTGGAAGCCGGAGGCAAAGCTGGGTGCTTCTGCAGAGACGGAGGGGCCTAGGACCTTTGCAAGGCACGGCATCGACAACTGGGGTCCCAGGAGGTTGGGGTCTTGGGCTTTCTGATTCTTTGTGTATGTAAAGGTTTTGGGGCTCAAGGGGGATTTGGTTCCCAAGTCTGACCTTCTTACTCAAGCGGTCAGAAGAGAAGTGCATCTTGGAATTGAGGAGATTTCGTTTTGAAGAGAGGATGATGGGTTCTAATCCCAAAGGTGATCTCGAGACTTGAGGGCTCCAACAGCTTACTTATGGTCCAGTGGAATACAGGCCTCGACCTTATAAAGCTGGATCCGGAAGGGCTTTGGAGCTCTTGAAGTAGGTTCCATCGCGCACTACCTGCTCGCTGCAGGTACGCGCCCGTGGTGATGACGCAGATTGCAGGCAGATCCGTGACACCTCACCGTGAGGGACACGCGAGCGTGCCACTGGCGCAAACGCAGGCGGCTTGGCTGCACTCGTTTAGATCTCCAGGGGGTGGGGGCAGTGCACCCATGCATCGTTCCAAGGTCTATCGCGTCAGCCACGGTGTGATCCAACAGTCAGCGTCGCGCAAGGGCTCTTCCTACACAATCCCGGTGGCTGTGCGCCCCAGGTGGGCACAGGGTAAGGGTTGGGGACGTAGTCATTCTTGTTCATGTGCTGGGCTGCGCTCGAGGTCGCAGAATGGCTTCGGTTTAATGGGGAGGGCCCAGACCTGGAGATCGCATTGGTGGCTCTAGTAGATCCGGATCATGCATCCTTTCGATAAGCGGTCAGGATCTCGCTGGAACTCGCCTGAGCTTTTCCAAGCCTTCATCTCCGTAATGTAGGTTTGTAGGCTTTCGGGCGTTCGGACAATGGAGACAGTTGAACTTGAGCAGCTTGACCGGCCTTGAGAAACTTTAGAGGGCAAAAAAGGGCTTCAAGGATCCTCGCGGGGCTAACAAACAGCTACCTGAAGCCGGTGCTCGATTTGGGTTTTGAGGTGAGAGGTTCCGACCCTAAACCCTAAACCCTAAACCCCTGAACCCTAAACCCCTAAACCCCTAAACCCTAAATCCTGGGGCTTGAGCCCCAAGAAGCCGAGGCATTCCTTGCCCGGCCAGTCGGCTGGCGCTCCAGGAGGTCGCCCCTTCTGAGAGCATTTTTTTTTCTTTTTCCGGGGTTTTCGAAGATGAGTTGGGGTCTTGGTATTTGCGGGGTCCTTATATAGAATGATCTTATTCTGGGTTTGGTTTTTCAGGTCGGGGCCGCTGATTCTTTTCTGAGACTCTCTCATGCAATAGGTACCCATGTGGCACCTCACACGAGCCCCCCCGAAACAGACCCCGCGTGGTACATAGATCTCCGGAGATCGCTTCTACCAGACGGTTATGGTCCGGAGTCGTATATCCGGCCTTCGTTTTTTGTCGCAGGGGTTTAGTTAGCATAGGGTTCAACTGTGTAGCGGCTTCAGTATGTCGAGTCATACGCATGAGACCCGTACTGAAACTCCAGACACCGCGGAAGCAGAGACAGAGAGGACATGTCCCTTTCCGCCTCGCCTCCGCGGGATCTGCTCGGATCGTTCGTCCAGCGGTGCCACCGACGCAGGCGGGGAATTGCAGGAAACCGGCCTTCAGGGTTGCGGCTGATGGCTGACACTCTCATGCTAGAGCTCGGCAGTCACCCGACATGGAGGTTTGCCTCGGTTCTTTGGGTCCACAAGGTTAGACTTGTCTCTCTTCGAGTTTTGTTCATTTGCTTTGGTTGGGTTTTGGTCTGCAGGTGCGAGGCGTGGCGACACCAGTGTACAGGTCAACGGGACACCTCGCGGAGCAAAAGGCGGTGCCTCCGCCTCCCAGAGTCTTCGTCTCTGCCCCCGTGGCTGGGGCCCGGGCCGCCGCTGTGTCTGTGCATTACAGCCCGGACGCCCATCCGGCCTCAAATGTGATAGTCACGCAGTCTTGGAGCCCGCGGAAGAAGACACACCTCTGAGTCCCACTTCGTGGTGCTTCGACGCCGAGTAACGCCACAAGGGGCTGAATTATTACTATGTTATTATAGCAACGGATCATATTATATAATCTATATTATGTAGTAACACAGTATATAAGTATACACAGAATATTATGCCACGTTATAGTATGGGGGTCGTCTGTCGTCGGAGGCACGAACTGGGATCTCCCGGCCTTTGCCGGCACAGACCGCTGGAGATGGCAGGATTTTAGGTAGAGAGCTGGAACTTCGAGACATATGGGAGTTTCCGAAAATCAGGGTACCTTAATCTGGGGTCCTGATAATAATAAGGATCCTATTATTCAGGGTAGTATATTGGAACCCCCAGAATCCGGAGGTCCGCTTGTCTGCCCATGTTTCGGTACGGAGCAATCGAAGTTCCATCTCTGGTTTGATTTCAGAAACTTACAAAGCTGAGTTGAATTCCATGCCGAGTGATTCTTTGCAGATTCACTGGCCATGACAGCTTCTTCCTGTTCCACTGTGCACAATGTGTGCATGTTTCAACAACACAAGGATCCCTCAAAGGAGGCTTGCGTCAAAGCTGCAGATCTTACTTTGACCGTAAGGCGCTGAAGAGCGGCAGGCCAAGAAGGGAGCTATGTGTTGATCTGAGCATCGCTTATTGAGCTGGCACCTGCCAGGGTGTGAAGTCTGAGATGTACATCTGAAGATGGCTCATAGCAAGAGTTCTGGTGTTCAAGCTTTACGGCTTAGCCGTGAGGCCCTGTTGGGCCTGGGAGGTGAGGCCTCACAAATCAGCCTTTGGCTTGCAGTTGGGTTTCACCCGTCGACGGCACGGCCGGCAAGGGGTTGAAAGGATGTCAGCACCAATCATGCGGTTTCCAGAGGCGAGATCATTGATGCCAAAGCATGCATGTCCGAAAATCTCGAACTCTCAGCTACCCCCGCCCCCGCCCGCACCAGGACCAGAATCATGTCGTCGTCCATTGAAGATGCAGAGTCATTGCAATGTTGCCACGCCACCACTTGGGTCACCTGTTTTGACACCTCACGAATTAGAAAACCCAAGCCTGAGACCCGCGGATCCCGAAACCCCCTGAAGCCCAACAGACCATGTGGGAGCTTCCGAAGATTAGGGTACCTTATTTGGGGATCCTTATAATAAGGACCCTACTATTTAGGGTACTATATTAGGTTCTCCTATTTTCGGAGACCCCATGTGATCGCAGACGGTCTCGCGTCCAACTCCCAGACGGGAAGCCTGCGACCTGAAATCCTAGGCCCAAAGACCCGAGCTTTAGGGTTTCGAACTTGAGTTTTGGAGTAAAGCTTTGGGGTCTAATTGGTGTTTGGGTTTTGGATTAGGGTTTTGGGGTTTCTAGTTACCAACGTTCGAATTCTAGACTTGCCTGCGCCAGGCAGTTGTCGGCTGCTCCTGCCACCGAGGAGTCGGCATCAGCTCCGCCGCAGGCGCCGACAGACTCGCAGCTTCAGGTTCTGATCGGGCTTCCAGTTTCTGATGGCCGCTTGGACCCTTAGATGCTATGCGCATGGAAAGTGCATTCAAGTTCTCCGTCGCCAGCAAAATGTCGCAAAGGGCGAGCGCAACCGAAGTAGCATGAACATAGAAATGTACCAAATCGACGAACAAAGCAGTATGAACAGAGAACGATATGAGCACAAAGTCGCAAGCGAGTAGCGTTTGGAACGCGAAGCCTTGGGCTTTGCAGAGGTCACCCTGCCGGCAGCGGTCATGTCTGCCTTGCCCGGGGCGCTCGCAGCAGGTCTTTCCGAGGAGGCTGGAAGCTTTCTCGTCCCGAGAAATCGGAAGTTGGGGTTCTTCAGATTTGGGTGCGCTGATATGAAGGAGCCTTTATTGCTGGGTTCCGTGGTGGCCCTTTTCTGAGACTCCCAGTCTAGCCAAGCAACACACCTGTGGTGACCAGTTTGATGATCAGGGGATAGTTGGATAATGCATAGAATACCGTTGCGCAACATCGGCGCCACCACCATGATTATCGTGCTGTCCTGTACGATAGTGGCAAATCGTCAGCAACAGTGCCTGAGTGGGCAAACCGCGAAACGCGTCCTCACCTTCTTTCTCCATACCAGGCCATGCAAGAGCTTGTGGCCCGTCTGGAATCCGCGGCAGAGATGCTGCAGGCGACTGAGGGTGTATCAATGCCAGAACTTTTGTATGTTACTAACCCAAGCAAGAGAAGAGGGTCGAGGCCCTTCACTGAGATTTGTTCAAGTGAAGCTTCAGACTCTGGCGCCTTCGCGTCGTGTGGCGCGGCAGGTGAGTGCTGAGAACGAAAGCTCCAGCCTCAGCTGAATCTCGAGTTTCGGATGTTAGGGGCTTCAGGGTTTTGAGCATTGCATGGCTTGGGGCCGGGGTCTATGGGCCGCGCTTTTACATGCTGGCATGGCTCAGATCACTAGGTTCTAGAGTGCTTTGGGTGCTTAGCATGCTGATCTCCACACGGGTTTGGTGTGAACTCCAGCGCTGACTTCAAGCCAGACCACACCTTCCAAAGAAGGCTGAAAGCCTGAAGCTCCGTCTACCCTCAAGTGGCATGCTGTGGTCCAAGGCACATCGCTGAAGCTCTGGAGGCATCGTACAAAGGTTCTACTAAGGGTTTCTTTTTGCATGTTTTTCTTGGGCCACAGGGTTGAGGGCTTGATGGCTTGTGGCTGCTAGCTTGAGATGCAGGTGCAGGGTGTTCTGTGGTGTGTAGAAGTTTAGTTTAGGTGTGAGGGATTCGCTGGTTGAAGGCCGAGTGGCTGATGCCGATGCCAAGCATGCGGATACGACAGCAGCTAGTGCCAATTTTGCTGATCGGATTTTGTTGGTTCACTGAAGCCGTCCAGTAACTGGGACGAACTGCTAGCCCTGCACACTACTGATGCTCGCCCGGCTGTTCGTTGAATTTGTCAGATGACTGGGTCGAAGCGCTAGCCCTGCTGTGGGTTCACACGGGGTCGGCTTGTCGCTGAGTCTGTCAAAGCGCTAGCCCTGCTGTGGGTTCACACGGGGAGATGGGAGAGTGAGCTTAAAAGG